ACATTCATTACAGACTGCACCTGGCAATAAAAGTTACACAACGTTGACAAGCCATTGTTAGCCTTTTAATGACATGATTTTAACATTTGTTTTACATATGCTTGGATGAAACACTAAATTATATTGCGATATAAGTATGGCTTGTTAAATACAGAAGAATTCTCAAATAATAACGCAACAAATGTCATTTCTAGTCCACCTTTTGTTTCCGGTCATCCACATATCTGGATGGCACCTGATTGAAGTGTCTAGTTTATCTGTGTTTGAACATAAACTATCTACGGATCGTTGTCCTTTAATGATGTTAGTTAACTATTGTTATCTTTGTTCTCATTACTGTTATCACTTTTATCAGTCAGTTGATCATTAAAACTGCCATTTGCAGTATCACATTCATTTTTGATTGCTGTTGACTGCAGCTTGTCATAGTCAAATATACTTTGCTGTCATGAGATCAAATAAACATAAGCAATGTGATGAGACGACTGAGTGGATCTTTGATTTTGTTTTGATTTTTGTTTGGAAAAGTAATATATGGGATATATGTTGTGTTTAATAGTAGAGTCCTCCTTACCATTGTCACACACTTTTTCTGAAGCAGTTATCTACCATCATGACTTGAACTCCACTCAGTCATCATATTTTGAGTCAGCTGAAGTTAGAGTTGAACTCTCTTCTCAGTCATCATGTTTTATGTAAATTGAAGTTGGTTTGCCTCTCATATTGTTGATTCCCCAGGTGTAAACACCTTCTGCCAGTATCTTTCTGTTACATATTTCTAGTATATAATTGTTTGTTTTATGTATATCCTTTCGATATAGTTTTCTACATATATCTTGCTATGTATTTTTAAAAAAAGTGTAAGTAAAGGTCCCTTTTCCACGCCTTCAGACGTATAGGGCATATAGGGCTAGACTTATATTTTTATAGACCAATCAGCACAAGATGGGTGATGTGGTCAGCATCACGCCGGCCACCTTTACTTCCCGTGATTACACCTGGTACCCACTCAAGGCTGGGTCAACCTGGGAGTCAAGGTCATTTTTGGAAAAAGTCCGTCCCCGCCATGAAGTGAACCCATGACCTTCCGATCTGTGCACGAGCATCTAGCCTGTAGGCCACAGAGGCTGCTTATTAAAGGAGTACTGCTACTTCATGACAATGCTAGGCCACATTTGGCTCAGTTAATTCAGGAGAAAACCACCCATCTAGAGTAGAATCTTCTGGAACATCCACCATACAGTCCCGACTTTGCCACTAGCGATTTCTACCTTTTTTTGGTCTACTAAAAACCCATCTTTGGGTGGTGGGGTGGGGGCGGTAGAGAGATTTTATGAATGACACAGAAGTTAAATGTGAAGTGAAAATGTGGTTTAGAAGCATGCAGTTCAATGCAGCAGGTTTAGGAGGACTGATAAAATGATGGGACAAGTGCATTAATGTTGGTGAGAACTATGATGAAGAATAAAGGGCCAGTGTATGTGTAAAAATAAACGTTTTTGAAGTTATGGTCTAAAGTTTGTTTTTTTAAACAATCATTTGTGACTTACTTATTGACTTCCCCTCGTATATATGTCCCTCTGTATACCTTTTTTACATATTACCTTTTATGATGATGATGAATTAACATACAAAATCCTCACACCTACAAAAGCTGAGGTGACTGATGTATGTCCACTGACCAGGCATTGTCTACACATGGAAACTGAATGACCAGTTTGCTGCTAGCTGCGAAAAAAAAAACACTGGTAGCAACAGAGACCTGATAATTTTACACCCGGGTGCCGTGGTGTTGATCCGTTGAATAAACATAAACCTGATGATTTCTGTAAATGATGTTTGTTGCATGAGGAATCACAGACCACCAACTCCACACAGCTATGATGTATGGAACCTAAAATCCAGTGCGGTAATTGCAGGAAGGATCCCTGTACAGAATGTACAGCCCCTTGGCTGCTGAAACTAAGAATCCATACTTTTTTGTTAGATCTTCTGATGAAGATGAACACTTGGCATCTCTGCAGTTTTGTGATGTTTGTGTTGTGTGACAGATGTGAAGTTTGTGTTGTATGACAGATGTGAGGTTTGTGTTGTATGACAGATGTGAAGTTTGTGTTGTGTAACAGATGTGAGGTTTGTGTTGTGTGACAGATGTGAAGTTTGTGTTGTGTGACAGATGTGAGGTTTGTGTTGTATGACAGATGTGAAGTTTGTGTTGTGTAACAGATGTGAGGTTTGTGTTGTATGACAGATGTGAAGTTTGTGTTGTGTAACAGATGTGAGGTTTGTGTTGTATGACAGATGTGAGGTTTGTGTTGTATGACAGATGTGAGGTTTGTGTTGTATGACGGATGTGAAGTTTGTGTTGTATGACAGATGTGAGGTTTGTGTTGTATGACAGATGTGAAGTTTGTGTTGTATGACAGATGTGAGGTTTGTGTTGTATGACGGATGTGTAGTTTGTTTTGTATGACAGATGTGAGGTTTGTGTTGTATGACGGATGTGTAGTTTGTGTTGTGTAACAGATGTGTAGTTTGTGTTGTGTGACAGATGTGAGGTTTGTGTTGTATGACAGATGTGAAGTTTGTGTTGTATGACAGATGTGAGGTTTGTGTTGTATGATGGATGTGAAGTTTGTGTTGTATGACAGATGTGAAGTTTGTGTTGTATGACAGATGTGAGGTTTGTGTTGTATGACGGATGTGTAGTTTGTGTTGTATGACAGATGTGAGGTTTGTGTTGTATGACAGATGTGAAGTTTGTGTTGTATGACAGATGTGAGGTTTGTGTTGTATGACGGATGTGTAGTTTGTGTTGTATGACAGATGTGAAGTTTGTGTTGTATGACAGATGTGAGGTTTGTGTTGTATGACGGATGTGAAGTTTGTGTTGTATGACAGATGTGAGGTTTGTGTTGTATGACGGATGTGAAGTTTGTGTTGTATGACAGATGTGAGGTTTGTGTTGTATGACGGATGTGAAGTTTGTGTTGTATGACAGATGTGAGGTTTGTGTTGTATGACGGATGTGAAGTTTGTGTTGTATGACAGATGTGGACAGAAGCCAATGTTCTCTGGTCTGAAGACCAGTTAGTCACTGGACACTAGTGAGTTTTGCATGCTCGGAGCATACATGGGCATACACTAATTATATCTCTTCCTGGCTACTGAAGGAAGAGTGAGTATGTGTGAGAATTCACTGAGTGCTGTAGTGTCAATTCCTTATTCATTTATTCATCACTGTGTATGCCTAAAGTCTAAGAACATTGCGAATCTGAGCCAGAGTTAACTCAGGTAAACTCATGTTCCACATGTGTTCATGACAATATTGAAACACTTAAACTTGTCAGTTGTTGGTGATGCCCTGAGACTCCAATCCTCCATCACCTGAGTTGTCCTTTGAAGGTTGCTCCCTTGGCTAATACTGAAGAAAAAAAAAGTTAGTTATAAATGGGATCTATAACTATTCCTATACCAGATAATGGGACCTATAATATAACACTACTCCAGAAAATGGAATCTATATTACTACACCAGATAATGGGATCTAAAATATAGTACTACACAAAATAATATTTGATTTGATTTGATTCAAGGACCGACATCACAGCACTCAGGGCATTCCCATAAGCGCTCCGTCCCCATCTTCAGCAGCCAGTGAAGAGTTCCGATACTAATGGTGCCAGTAGCTTTCTGATTATTGTCCGTCTTGCCTTTCCGGTGAGCCTCGAACTTCTGCCAGAACCTTTCATCACCCCCAACTGCATCAATCTCACCAAACTGTGGTGATCCATCTGCTCCTCCGAATTGTATACGCTCTCCCACAAGGCACTAACCACGTCTGCCCTATCATGTAGCAGTATTCCACAAAATAATGGGATCTATAATATATTACTACATCAGATAATGGGAGTTATAATATATAACTACATCAGGCAATGGCATCTATGGTGTATTACTTCGCTGGTTAACAGTATCTATAGTATATTATTACACTAGATAATGGGATCTATAATATATTACTACACCAGATTACGGGCTACTACACCAAATAATGTGAGATATAATATATTACTAAATCAAATAATATGATATATAATATACTGCTTCATTGGTTAATGGGATCAATAATATATTACTACTACATCAAATAATGGGATCTATAATATATTACATCAGATAATGAGATCTATAATGTATTAATTCACTGGTTAATGAGATCTATAATATATTATTACTTAGATAATGGGATCTATAATATATTACTACACCAGATAATGAGATCTATATTGTATTACTACATCAGATAATGAGATCTATATATAATGTATTAATTCACTGGTTAATGGGATCTATAATATATTATTACTTAGATAATGGGATCTATAATATATTACTACACCAGATAATGAGATCTATATTGTATTACTACACCAGATAATGAGATCTATAATGTTTTAATTCACTGGTTAATGGGATCTATAATATATTATTACTTAGATAATGTGATCTATAATATATTACTATATCAGACAACGGAATCTATAATATATTACTACACTAGATAATAGGATTTATAATATATTACTACACTAAATAATGGGATCTATAATATATTACTACATCAGATAATGGGATCTATAATATATTACTACACTAGATAATGGGATATATAATATATTTCTATGCTAAATAATGGGATCTATAATATATTACTACACTAAATGATGGGATCTATAATATATTACTACACTAAATAATGGGATCTATAATATATTAGTACACTCCAGATTAGAGACAGAAATTAAAATGTTAGATGGAACTAAACAGGAAAATAATACTACTATAGTATACTAAAAGGAGTGAAATATGACCAGAAATAAACAACAGACACTGTATAAAGAGAATAAGACAGGGATAACAAAAGAAATACGATGGACAGAGTGAGGAAGAACATGGATGAAGAGAAACAAACAAAACTAAATTCTGACTTTACTTTTTCAACAACATGGCGACCTGCCCTGGCGCTGTTGAAGGGTGTTGGCAGACAGTCGGACCGCCATCTCGTGCAGGGGAATACGAGCACCATGGAACAGTTCATTGATTTTCTTCTCTCGAATTGTCGTTGCTGAAATTTGAGAACAGTGTTGTTGTTGTTGCTAGCTTTATGACAGACGATCATGTGATGTATTGTAAAACTTGGTAAGTTTAGTGGTAGGGTGAGGAGTGGGAAACAGAGGGACATAATGTTAAACAGTGTTGAGATAAAGGATGGGATAATATGGGGTGGGGGGAGTGGTGTTTAGATAAGAAGTGGGGGATGTTGGGACAGTGTTGAGACAATGGGTGGGGAAATGTTGATGGGGATAGGGAATGTATGGAAACTTGAAATAAGGGATGGGGAAATGTTGATGGCGATAGGGAATGTATGGAAACTGTTGAAATAAGGGATGGGGAAGATGTTGGGCAGAGCTGAGATAAGGGTTAAGGCAAATATTAGGCAGTCTTGAGGCACATATTAGACAGTGTTGAGGCATATATTAGGCAGTGTTGAGGCACATATAAGGCAGTGTTGAGGCACATATTAGGCAGTGTTGAGGCATATATTAGACAGTGTTGAGGCACATATTAGGCAGTGTTGAGGCATATATTAGGCAGTGTTGAGGCACATATAAGGCAGTGTTGAGGCACATATAAGGCAGTGTTGAGGCACATTTTAGGCAGGGTTGAGGCATATATAAGGCAGTGTTGAGGCACATATTAGGCAGTGTTGAGGCACATATAAGGCAGTGTTGAGGCACATATAAGGCAGTGTTGAGGCACATATAAGGCAGTGTTGAGGCACATATTAGGCAGTGTTGAGGCACATATTAGGCAGGGTTGAGGCACATATAAGGCAGTGTTGAGGCACATATAAGGCAGTGTTGAGGCACATATAAGGCAGTGTTGAGGCACATATAAGGCAGTGTTGAGGCACATATTAGGCAGTGTTGAGGCACATATTAGGCAGGGTTGAGGCACATATAAGGCAGTGTTGAGGCACATATAAGGCAGTGTTGAGGCACATTTTAGGCAGGGTTGAGGCACATATTAGGCAGGGTTGAGGCACATATTAGGCATCTTGAGGCACATTTTAGGCAGTGTTGAGGCACATTTTAGGCAGTGTTGAGGCACATTTTAGGCAGTGTTGAGGCACATATTAGGCAGGGTTGAGATCAGGGATGAGAAAGATGTTGTAAAATGTAATACCTAGTGACACAAAATGGGATTTATGAATAATTGTGGCATCATAAGCCATGTGACAAAGTCCCTTGATAATGATATTTGTAGTAGATGTTATAATGTTTGTAGTAGCTGTTATGATGTTTGTAGTGGCTGCAATGATGTTTGTAGTGGCTGTGATGATGTTTGTAGTGGCTGTGATGATGTTTCTAGTGGTTGTGATGATGTTTGTAGTGGCTGTGATGATGTTTGTAGTGGCTGTGATGATGTTTGTAGTGGCTGTGATGATGTTTGTAGTGGCTGTGAGGATGTTTGTAGTGGCTGTGATGATGTTTGTAGTGGCTGTGATGATGTTTGTAGTGGCTGTGATGATGTTTGTAGTGGCTGTGATGATGTTTGTAGTGGCTGTGATGATGTTTGTAGTGGCTGTAATGATGTTTGTAGTGGCTGTGATGTGATATTTGTAATGGCTGTGATGATGTTTGTAGTGGCTGTGATGATGTCTGTTATGGCTGAGATGATGTTTTAGTGGATGTGATGATGTTTGTAGTGGCTGTGATTTGATGTTTGTAGTGGATGTGATGATGTTTGTAGTGGCTGTGATGATGTTTGTAGTGGCTGTGATGATTCTGTAGTGGCTGTGATGATGTTTGTAGTGGCTGTGATGATGTCTGTAGTGGCTGTGATGATGTTTGTAGTGGCTGTGATGATGTTTGTAGTGGCTGTGATGATTCTGTAGTGGCTGTGATGATGTTTGTAATGGCTGTGATGATGTTTGTAGTGGCTGTGATTATGTTTGTAGTGGCTGTGATGATGTTTGTAATGGCTGTGATGTGATATTTGTAGTGGCATGATGATGTTTTTAGTGGCTGTGATGATGTCTGTTAAAGCTGAGATGATGTTTAAGTGGATGTGATGATGCTTGTAGTGGCTGTGATGTGATGTTTGTAGTGGCTGTGATGTGATGTTTGTAGTGGCTGTGATGATGTCTGTAATGGCTGTGATGATGTCTGTTATGGCTGAGATGATGTTTTAGTTTATGTGATGATGTTTGTAATGGCTGTGATTATGTTTGTAGTGGATGTGATTATGTTTGTAGTGGCTGTGATGATGTTTGTAGTGGCTGTGATGATGTTTGTAGCGGCTGTGATGATGTCTGTAGTTGCTGTGATGATGTTTGTAGTGGCTGTGATGATGTTTGTAGTGGCTGTGAAGATGTTTGTAGTGGCTGTGATTATGTTTGTAGTGGCTGTGATGATGTTTGTAATGGCTGTGATAATGTTTGTAGTGGCTGTGATGATGTTTTAGTGGCTATGATGATGTTTGTAGCGGCTGTGAGGATGTTTGTAGTGGTTGCGATGATGTCAGTATTATCAGATGGCATTGAGGCAGCCTGGGACATAAGTGTCTTCTCTTAGGTTCCCTTCTAGCTTTATGAATAGAGGTACTGTGTGGGGAGTGTAAATTTGTGTGTCTGTGTGAGGGTATAAGTGTGTGTGTCTGTGTAAAGGTGTGTGTGTGAGAGTGTAAGTAAGTGTGTGTGTGTGTGTGTGTGTGTGAGGGTCTGAGTATGTGTGTGTGTCTGTGTCAGCGTGCCAGTAATTGTGTGAGTAAGTGTGTGTGAGGGTGTGAGAAAGTATGGGTATCTGTATGAGGGTGTGAGTAAGTATCAGTGTCTGTGTGAGGGTGTGAGAAAGTATATGTATCTATATGAGGGTGTGAGTAAGTATCAGTGTCTGTGTGAGGGTGTGAGAAAGTATGTGTATCTATATGAGGGTGTGAGTAAGTATCAGTGTCTGTGTGAGGGTGTGAGAAAGTATGTGTATCTATATGAGGGTGTTGAGTAAGTATGAGTGTCTGTGTGAGGGTGTGAGAAAGTATGTGTATCTGTATGAGAGTGTGAGTAAGTATGAGTGTCTGAGTGAGGGTGTGAGAAAGTATATGTTGATTTATGAGGGTGTGAGTAAGTATGTGTGTCTGTGTGAGGGCGTGAGAAAGTATGTGTGTTTCTGTGGGGGTGTAAGTATGTGTGTGTCTTTGTGAGCTGTGAGTAAGAATGTGTGAGTAGAATGGCCACCCTCAGTTAAATAGATGAAGAATACACACAAGAACAATGCGTCAGAGTCTATACAGATGGGTCCGCACAAAAAGCAATTAGAAATGGTGGTTCTGGAGTAAATATAGAATTCCTAGATGGTACTAGGGATAAGTCTAGCCTACCAACCAAGAAGTACTGCCGTAACTATGTTGCAGAAACTTAGGCTGTCAAAATAGCAACAGTGAAACTGCTAAATACCAATCGTGGCTCACAGTATGTGGTAATGCTGACAGATGCAAAATCCGTACTTAAAGCACTCCGGTTTAGGAAACTATCAGAATTCCAAACACTGCTGACACAACTCAGCCTTCAGTGAAGAGCCGTGATGCAATGAATACAGTCCTATTATAGAGTGCCTGGAAATGAGAAAGCTGATCAACTGGCTGGGGAGGTACGACAAAAGTGCCGCCGGATGTACCAGTCACATACCACCAAAAGAAAATGATAATTAAATCGATCAGGAAACCACAAGTCCCACCACAAGATTTTTTTATGGAAAGATCAGAACAAGTTATTATCCTTTGCCACAGAACAGGGCACAATCGATTACGCAGCCACATGTACACACAATTCAAGATTCAGCCATGTGTACCTGTGGGAATGTACCCCAGACAGCAGAATATGTACTCCAGGACTGCACCGAATTTGATAAATTAAGGCAAACATTTTGGCTAGGAGGAACAACAGTGAAACATAAACTCTATGGAACTAAACACGACAGTGGATCATAAACTATATGGACCACTGAACGAACTAAACACAACAGTGGATCATAAACTATATGGACCACTGAACGAACTAAACACAACAGTGGAACATAAACTCATCAGATCTAAACATAACAGTGGAACATAAACTCATCAGATCTAAACATAACAGTGGAACATAAACTCTTTGGGAAACTCTATGGGCCACTGAACGAACTAAACATAACAGTGAAATATAAACTCTATGGAACCGCTGAACGAACTAAACATAACAGTGAAACATAAACTCCATGGAACCGCTGAACGAACTAAACACGAATTGGTGGGTGGGTAGAAGTGTATATATGTTAGTTGGTGGGTGGGTAGAAGTGTATATATGTTAGTTGGTGGGTGGGTAGGAGTGTATATATGTTAGTTGGTGGGTGGGTAGAAGTGTATATATGTTAGTTGGTGGGTGGGTAGAAGTGTATATATGTTAGTTGGTGGGTGGGTAGGAGTGTATGTATGTAAGTTGGTAGGTGGGTAGAAGTGTATGTATATGTTAGTTGGTGGGTGGGTAGAAGTGTATGTATATGTTAGTTAGTGGGTGGGTAGAAGTGTATGTATGTAAGTTGGTGGGTGGGTAGGAGTGTATGTATGTAAGTTGGTGGGTGGGTAGGAGTGTATATATGTTAGTTGGTGGGTGGGTAGGAGTGTATGTATGTAAGTTGGTAGGTGGGTTGAAGTGTATGTATATGTTAGTTGGTGGGTGGGTAGAAGTATATGTATATGTTAGTTGGTGGGTGGGTAGAAGTGTATGTATATGTTAGTTGGTGGGTGGGTAGGAGTGTATGTATATGTTAGTTGGTGGGTGGGTAGGATTGTATGTATATGTTAGTTGGTGGGTGGGTAGGAGTGTATATATGTTAGTTGGTGGGTGGATAGGAGTGTATGTATATGTTAGTTGGTGGGTGGGTAGGAGTGTATATATGTTAGTTGGTGGGTGGGTAGGAGTGTATATATGTTAGTTGGTGGGTGGGTAGGAGTGTATATATGTTAGTTGGTGGGTGGGTAGGAGTGTATATATGTTAGTTGGTGGGTGGGTAGGAGTGTATATATGTTAGATGGTGGGTGGGTAGGAGTGTATATATGTTAGTTGGTGGGTGGGTAGGAGTGTATATATGTTAGATGGTGGGTGGGTAGGAGTGTATATATGTTAGTTTATGGATGACAGGTTGGTAGGTATGTATATGTGTAAGTAGGCTGGCAGGAAGACTCGTGAGTCAGTGAGCCTCCAGGCAAAGTTACAATACTCACACAACTCTTGAAAGATGGCATCCACTTTTTCTCCGGTCACCGCGGACGTTTCCAGGAAAAACGAATTACTGAATTCTGCCTTTCGTTTGCCTTCCTGGGAAACATTGTCAAGAGCGGTTTGCACACAAGAATCGTTTTATCTGTTTATGCACAAGCAATATCTGTTTATATACAAGCAGTATTTTTACTGTTTACATACAAGCAGTATTTTTACTGTTTACATACAAGCAGTATTTTTACTGTTTACATACAAGCAGTATTTTCACTGTTTACATACAAGCAGTATTTTTACTGTTTACATACAAGCAGTATTTTTACTGTTTACATACAAGCAGTATTTTTACTGTTTACACACAAGCAGTATTTTTACTGTTTACACACAAGCAGTATTTTTACTGTTTACATACAAGCAGTATTTAAACTGTTTACATAGAAGCAGTATTTTCACTGTTGACACACAAGCAGTATTTTTACTGTTTACATACAAGCGGTATTTTTACTGTTTACATACAAGCAGTATTTTTACTGTTTACATACAAGCAGTATATTTAGCAGTATTTTTACTGTTTACATACAAGCAGTATTTTTACTGTTTTCATACAAGCAGCATTTTTACTGTTTACATACAAGCAGTATTTTTACTGTTTTCATACAAGCAGTATTTTTACTGTTTACATACAAGCAGTATTTTTACTGTTTCCATACAAGCAGTATTTTCACTGTCTACATACAAGCAGTATTTTCACTGTTTACATACAAGCAGTATTTTCACTGTTTACATACAAGCGGTATTTTCACTGTTTACAAATAAGCAGTATTTTCACTGTTTACATACAAGCAGTATTTAAACTGTTTACATACAAGCAGTATATTCACTGTTTACACACAAGCAATATTTTCACTGTTTACACACAAGCAGTATTTTCACTGTTTACATACAAGCAGTATTTTCACTGTTTACACACAAGCAGTATTTTCACTGTTTACATACAAGCAGTATTTAAACTGTTTACATACAAGCAGTATATTCACTGTTTACACACAAGCAGTATTTTCACTGTTTACACACAAGCAGTATTTTCACTGTTTACATACAAGCAGTATTTTCACTATTTACACACAAGCAGTATTTTCACTGTTTACATACCAGCAGTATTTTCACTGTTTACATACAAGCAGTATTTTAACTATTTACACACAAGCCGTATTTTCACTGTTTACACACAAGCAGTATTTTCACTGTTTACATACAAGCAGTATTTAAACTGTTTACATACAAGCAGTATTTTTACTGTTTACATACAAGCAGTATTTTTACTGTTTACATACAAGCAGTATTTTCACTGTTTACATACAAGCAGTATTTTCACTGTTTACATACAAGCAGTATTTTCACTGTTTACATACAAGCAGTATTTTCACTGTTTACATACAAGCAGTATTTTCACTGTTTACATATAAGCAGTATTTTCACTGTTTACATACAAGCAGTATTTAAACTGTTTACACACAAGCAGTATATTCACTGTTTACACACAAGCAGTATTTTCACTGTTTACACACAAGGAGTATTTTCACTGTTTACATACAAGCAGTATTTTCACTGTTTACATACAAGCAGTATTTTCACTGTTTACATACAAGCAGTATTTTAACTATTTACACACAAGCCGTATTTTCACTGTTTACACACAAGCAGTATTTTCACTGTTTACATGCAAGCAGTATTTTAACTGTTTACACACAAGCAGTATTTTCACTGTTTACACACAAGCAGTATTTTCACTGTTTACACACAAGCAGTATTTTCACTGTTTACATACAAGCAGTATTTTCACTGTTTACACACAAGAAATGTTGCATTAACTGAGTGTAAAGTAGACATGTCTGGATGAGATCAAGTCAGAGTCTCCCTAAAGCAGATGTCTGGAGTCAACTCTCTGCCGAGGTTAGCACTTCTGGCTGCAGGCACAATGGTCTCGTGTTTGAGTCCCATGGTCGAGGCATTTGTTTTTAAACGGACTGAGATCCCATAATGACCCAGCCTCAAGTGGTATCAGGGAATAAACTGGGAAGTAAAGGTGACCGGTGGGATATTGACCACATCACCGATTGAATGCCGACTGATTTATAAAACAGGACAGTCACACAGGGGAGACATATCCACAGAGGGGAGACATATCCACACAGGGGAGACATATCCACACTGTGGAGACATATCCACACAGGGATACATATCCACAGAGGGGAGACATATCCACACTGTGGAGACATATCCACACAGGGGAGACATATCCACACAGGGAGACATATCCACACAGGGGAGACATATCCACACAGGGGAGACATATCCACACTGTGGAGACATATCCACACAGGGGAGACATATCCACACAGGGGAGACATATCCACACAGGGGAGACATATCCACACCATGGAGACATATATACACAGGGGAGACATATCCACACACTGGAGACATATCCCCACACTGGAGACATATCCACACACTGGAGACATATATACACAGGGGAGACATATCTACACACTGGAGACCTATCCACACAGGAGAGACATATACACACCATAGAGACATATATACACAGGGGAGACATATCCACACCATGGAGACATATATACACAGGGGAGACATATCCACACACTGGAGACATATATACACAGGGGAGACATATCCACACAGGGGAGACATATCCACACAGGGGAGATATATCCACACAGGGAGACATATCTACACAGGGAGACATATCCACACAGGGAGACATATCCACACAGGGAGACATATCCACACAGGGAGACATATTCACACAGGGAGACATATCCACACAGGGAGACATATCCACACAGGGAGACATATCCACACAGGGAGACATATCCACACAGGGAGACATATCCACACAGGGAGACATATTCACACAGGGAGACATATCCACACAGGGGAGACATATCCACACAGTGGAGACATATCCACACAGGGGAGACATATCTACACAGGGGAGACATATCCACACAGGGGAGACATATCCACACAGGGAGACATATCTACACAGGGAGACATATCCACACAGGGAGACATATTCACACAGGGAGACATATCCACACAGGGAGACATATCCACACAGGGAGACATATCCACACAGGGAGACATATCCACACAGGGAGACATATTCACACAGGGAGACATATCCACACAGGGGAGACATATCCACACAGGGGAGACATATCTACACAGGGGAGACATATCTACACAGGGGAGACATATCCACACAGGGGAGACATATCTACACAGGGGAGACATATCCACACAGGGGGACATATCCACACAGGGAGACATATCACACAGGGAGACATATTCACACAGGGAGACATATCCACACAGGGGAGACATATCCACACAGGGAGACATATTCACACAGGGAGACATATCCACACAGGGAGACATATCCACACAGGGAGACATATTCACACAGGGAGACATATCCACACAGGGGAGACATATCCACACAGTGGAGACATATCCACACAGGGGAGACATATCTACACAGGGGAGACATATCTACACAGGGGAGACATATCCACACAGGGAGACATATCTACACAGGGGAGACATATCCACACAGGGGAGACATATCCACACAGTGGAGACATATCCACACAGGGAGACATATTCACACAGGGAGACATATCCACACAGGGAGACATATCCACACAGGGAGACATATTCACACAGGGAGACATATTCATACAGGGGAGACATATCTACACAGGGGAGACATATCTACACAGGGAGACATATCCACACAGGGGAGACATATCCACACCGGGGAGAAAATTGTCACTTTATAAATAATTCTAACCCACCCCCCCCCCCTTTTCCCCTTCCCCCCATCTCCCACCATCTGTCTTCTTTGATAGACGTCACATACACCGATGATGATAATGACTATGACGACTCTGACGATGATGATAATGACGATGATGACGCTGACGATGATTACCTCTTCAGTGACCTGCCTCCACTGAGCGATGTCCAGCTTGTTACCGACAATGATGACGGGAATATCGTAGGGCAGGTGATTGTTGACAAAGTGCAACCATCTGTCCACGTTCTGGAACGATTCCTGCACAAGTAGAGCAGCCATGTTTTTACTGCCTTGTAGCAGTGGTTGTCTTTTGAAACCATGCTCCTTGACAACTGGCATTATACAGTTCTGTAAACATATGTGTGCCGGTAGCTTTTTGTGTGTGCTGGTGGCTAAATGTGTGTGCCGGTGGCTTTTTGTGTGTGCTGGTTGCTAAGTGTGTGTGCTGGTGGCCTTTTGTGTGTGCCGGTGGCTTTTTGTGTGTGCTGGTGGCTTTTTGTGTGTGCCGGTTGCTTTTTGTGTGTGCTGGTGGCTAAATGTGTGTGCCGGTGGCTTTTTGTGTGTGCTGGTGGCTAAATGTGTGTGCCGGTGGCTTTTTGTGTGTGCTGGTTGCTAAATGTGTGTGCCGGTGGCTTATTGTGTGTGCTGATGGCTAAATTATCAGATATGTCTCTATAGTCTGTACACCTGCATAAACTATCAGATATGTATCTTTAGTCTGTACACCTACATAAAATATCATATATATGTAATTTTTACACCTGCATAAACTATCAGATATGTATCTATAGTCTGTACACCTACATAAACTATCATATATCTGTAGTTTTTACACTTGCAAAAACTATCAGATATGTATCTATAGTCTGTACACCTATAAAAACTATCATATATCTATAGTCTGTACACATGTATAAACTATCAGATATGTATCTATAGTCTGTACACTAGTAGACATAGCCTGACCTAGTCACAGACCTGTTATCGTGCCTTACCTTGTTGGTGATGTCATAGACAACGATGACAGCGTCCATGTTCCGGATACAGTTTGGCATGACGCTGCGGAACCTTTCCTGGCCAGCCGTGTCATAGATGGTGTATCTGACCTTTGACCCATCGCCGTAGCTGACCAGTTTGGATGAGAATTCAAAACCTGTAAGCAGGGACATGTTAAAAACTGTAAACTTTGTGGAAAACTTCGGCAACACAGATGCCATATTGTGTACAAAATAAGCCTAGACCTGCTCTATGGTTACGTGACTGGAGCATAGAACCTCAACACACACACACACACCAGGGGTTCTATATTTTGTTATCTCCTGCATCTCCTTCGCGTCATCTGTAAAATGTTTTTTTTTTTTTTTTGCCACTTTTTCCTCCTTGTTTGTGTGTGTGTGTGTGTGTGTGTGTGTGTGTGTGTGTGTGTGTGTGTGTGTGTGTGTGTGTGTGTGTGTGTTTTAATGCTTTATGTTTCTTCGGCACTTTCGTTACCAGTTATATAAATTATCTATATATAAAACAATAGAAGTTGATTAACGTTTACATGTCGCATGTCCAACTGGGTCAGCACATCCCGATTTTCCCGTTACGCCTGAGTGTCTCACCCATTTGGATACGCTAGTAACAAGCCACTGTTTGTGGAGAAAACCGAAATCACTTACCAACCGGCAGCAGGCAAAGTATACAGAGCCGACCATTGTGGTAAATGGCAGGAAGTGCATGGCTGTGGAAAGTTTTCGGTAGTATACTGTCTCTAAATGTCACCATTGACGCGGAGATAGACACCCGGAGACTCAAAAGTTCACACACGTATGCATTCTTAGTGAATAGATGAATATGCTTAAAAAATCCAAGCTGGGTAAATCAGGCGAGAATGGATTGAAACGCTTAGCACTTCGCGAATATCTGCCCTAACCTTAATCTTTGTGCCAGGTCATGCGGGTGTTTAAGGGAGCGAGCGTGCAGACTATCTTGCTGACACTGTGGTTGCTACGGCTGGGTCATTACTGGATAGAAGTGATGTTATCAATGCCATGCGCTGCACTTAACATACCGAGGAACACGCCAAAGGACATGACTTCATATCCCTGTCTAGACTGATGGACATGGGGCTGCAGCATGGAGCTGCAAGGAATGAACATTTCACTGAGGGGACAAGACGTTTCATAACCCAACACAGAACAGGCGTCGATCAGTCGTTTTACACTTGTGAAGCTTTTGAGAAGAAAATCGCAGCACCTATGGATCTGTCTGGAGTGCTGTGATGATAATCCTTTCTAATCATTAATTAGGTATACAGAGCTGCAGTGCTTCCAGTGCTGCAGAGCTTCCAGTGCTGCAGTGCTTCCAGTGCTTCCAGTGCTGCGGTGCTTCCAGTGCTGCGGTATGCTTGTGAAATATGGACTGTATACAGGCGTCATGAAAAGAAGCACAACCACTTCCATACTGTCAAAGAAAATACTCAAAATCAATTGGCAAGACAGGGTGTCGGATATTGTTGTATGGATAGAGCAGGAATTTCTAGCATCGATACCATCCTGATACCATCCTGATACCATCCTGATACCATCCCGATACCATCCTGATACCATCATGATACCATCATGATACAATCCCGATACCATCCCGATACCATCCTGATACCATCATGATACCATCCCGATACCATCCTGATACCATCCCGATACCATCCTGATACCACCATGATACCATCCCGATACCATCCCGATACCATCCCGATACCATCCTGATACCATCCTAATACCATCCTGATACCATCCCGATACCATCCCGATACCATCCTGATACCATCA